GGCGGTTGCCGCGCTCGGTGACTCGTGGGAGCGCCGGACAACAGCCGATGGCCGGTTGCCGGCGGCCCGCGTGACGATGATACTATGGCGCGAAACGGCATCATCAAAACAAGCCGGCACCGGCTGGAGTTAACCATGGCATTCGCACGCCCCGAGTTCCTAGTATCGACGGATTGGCTGGCCGACCACCTGAAAGACAACGATAAAGGCAACGATGTCCGGGTGTTCGAGACAACCGTCTTCCTGCACCGCGGCGACGGCGGAGTTCGCGCCGAGTCTGGACAAGCGCAATATGAAACGGGTCACATCCCCGGCGCTGGGTTCCTTGACCTGCAGGCCGACTTCTCCGATAACGACCAACCCTACCGCTTCATGATGCCCTCGGCTGAAGCGTTCGCCGAAGCGGCCGGACGACACGGCATCTCGGAGTCCTCGAAGTTGGTCCTGTACGACCGCCTGGGGTCGCAGTGGGCGGCCAGGCTGTGGTGGATGTTCCGCTCGATGGGTTGCCAGGGCGCGGTGGTGCTGGACGGTGGCTGGCGCCGGTGGACGGCCGAGGGCCGTGCCGCGTCCACAGACCCGGCGACATACGCACCCGCGACCTTCAGGCCGACGCCCGACCCGGCACGCTTGCCAATCTTGCCGAGGTGATGGCGTTCATCGAGACCGGCACTGGAGGCGGCAGCTGCCTGATCAACGCCCTGGGGCGGGATCAGCACTCGGGCGAGGACGGCGGGCAAGGCTACGGCCGCGCGGGGCACATCCCCGGCGCGAGCAACGTGCCCTCTGGTGAGTTGACCGATCCTGAAACCGGCCTCTTCCGGCCAGCAGAGGAGTTGGCGGCGCTCTTCGACGCGGCGGGCGCGGACCGCACGCAGCGCGTGGTCACCTACTGCGGCGGCGGCATCGCGGCGTCCAATGACGCCTTCATCCTGGCGATGCTGGGCTACGAGAACGTCGCGGTCTACGACGCCTCGATGTCGGAGTACGCCGCCGACCCGTCGCTGCCGCTGGTGGTCGCCTGAGCGCGGGGAGCGTATCCGCAATGCTCCGCCGGGCGAGACCGGGCTGCAACACGGTCTTTTGGGGCGAACGACCAATGGGGAGGTGAGCCATGACGCAGGCTGCCACGCTGAACGATACGCTGGAATTCGGGCTGTTCGACTGGATTGAATGGGACAAGTCGGCGCCCAGCGAGATCTTTGAAAACCGGCTCAAGATGCTGGAGTACGCCGACCGGAGCGGTTTCTACAGCTACCACCTGGCGGAACACCACATCACCCCGTTGAGTGTATCGCCCTCGCCGGCGGTGTTCCTGGCGGCCGCGGCGCAGCGGACGTCAAAGCTGCGCCTGGGGCCCCTGGTTTTCCTGCTGCCCTTCTACAACCCCATCCGCCTCTACCACGAAATTTGCATGCTGGACAACCTCAGCAACGGACGGCTGGACCTGGGTGTGGGCCGGGGCGTCTCGCCGGTCGAGGCGGAGGAATTCGGCGTTGATCTGGACATCAGTTGGGAAGTGTTCAACGAGCACATGGACATGTTCACCGGCGGGTTCACCACGGGCGTGCTCAATCATCGGGGCAAGCACTACAACTACGAGGACATAGAGCTTTGGATCAAACCCTATCAGAAGCCCTATCCACCTCTCTGGTACGCCAGCAACAACATCGAAACGGTGCCGTGGATGGCCCAGCACGGTTTCAACACCTGCACCGTTTTTGCCGACAATGCCGGCGCGAAAGCCCACTATGATATGTACAAGCAAGTCTGGAACGCGGAGCGCATGTCCGACGGGCTGAACAGCCACGTGAGCGTTCCCAAGCTGGGGCTCGTCCGTCACATGTACATCGCCGACACCGACGAACGGGCCATGGCGGAGGCCAAACCGGCGTATCAGACCTGGTTCCACAACATCGATTACCTGTGGGCCAAGGCTGGCCTGGACCGCCTGGGCGCCATGAGGGATTTCGACGCGCTGGAAGCAAAAGACATCGTGATCGTGGGTTCGCCATCGAGTGTCAGGGAGCGGGTTCAGCAGGCAATTGACGAGACTGGCATCAACTACTTCTGCCCCATTTTCGCCTGGGGCGACCTGACCCCCGACCAGGTCATGCACTCGATGGAGCTGTTCGTCGATGAGGTCATGCCCAACCTGAGGCCCGGCATCTAACGGCCCGCCCCAACCGAACAGATTCACCCTTATCAGTCCTCCAACCGCGCCAGTCGAATACAGGAGACGCGACAATGTCCTCGGCCACCCCCTACTCGCCGGCCACCGCGGGATCGATCAGCAGGACCATCGCAGCCCTGGCCGCCCGCAACGTGGACGCCATCCTGGTGGAGAGTCGGGAAGCGGCTTTAGCCAAGCTGCGCGAATGGGTTCCGGAGGGCGCCGAGGTCTTCGTGAGCACGTCGGAGACGCTGGACACCATTGGCTACACGGAATACATGCACGGCAACGACCGCTACATCAACCTGCACGACCGGATGTTGGCCCAGCCCGACGCGGCATCCCAGCGGGAGTACCGCCGCAAGACCACCACCGCCGACCACTTCGTGGGCAGCGTGCAGGCCATCGCCGAGACCGGCGAGATCGTCGTCGCCAGCGGCTCCGGCAGCCAGATCGGAGCCTATTCCTACGGCGCCCGGCGCGTCATCCTCGTGGCCGGCACGCAGAAGATCTGCGCCACCCTCGCCGAAGCCGAGGCCCGCACCCGCGGCTTCACCCTGGAGCGCCACGACCGGTGGCTTGAGGGCCGGGGCTCCGCTCGCGCACCCATCGGCAAATTCCTGGTGATGGAACACGAGCCGGTGGTCGGCCGCATCTCCATGATCCTCATTCCCGAAAGTCTCGGTTGGTAGATGGCTTCACGGTCGTAGATGGTTGCCCCGTCATCGAACGCGAAGGCGCCGAGGGGCGCACAGTGGTGCGCCTGGGCGCGTTTCAGTATTACCACCGGACATCCGCGGTCAGTCGAACAAGATGGGCTCTCCGTTCAGCGTCGACCTGTCCTCGAAGGGAGTGGGATTGGCGACCGCGGCCCGCACCCAACACCCGTCGCGGGCGTTCCGCAGCACCGCCGCTACCCGTTCCCGGTCGTCGGGGGACTCAATCTCGTAGCTGGTTTCCACCTTCGGTGCGCTGGCCTGGATGGTGCCCGCCAGCACCGAACCCTCCAGCCCAAAGTGCACGGCCACGTGAGCCTTGACGCTGCTGATGTCCACCTTCATCAATCGAGAGTACCTCTCGATCTGGGTCATCTCTCAAAATGCAATCGAGGCGGCAAAGTAGTGCAGCGGCGCCGGTGCGGTGCTGTTGCCGCCTATGGTGGGCGGTTCGTCGCAGTCGATGGTGAACTTGACGTTCGTGCCCACGAAGGCCCGCCGCAGCATGTTACCCAGGTCTTCCACGTCCACCTCGGTGACCGTGGATCGGCGATTCTGTCCGGGTGGAAACGGATCGAAATTCGGTTCCGGTCTTTCGCTATCTTGTGGCATGGGACCCTCCGCGTTCAGGAATGGCCCAACGCTATCACGGAGCAACCGGCAACACACAACGAACCCCCGAGGCAGAGGAGGGATTGAGGTAGTAAGGCAATCTACCTGCCGATTAGTCCTGCACGTGGAGGAATTAGAGACCTTCCCGACGCAAACGTACAATGCCACACAATGCCGCCAAGTTGAAACCAACCGGCGGCGGATGAGAGTTCGGAACGTACACGAAACATCGCAAGGGGGAAGAGTAATGCCAGAGAAGCAACGCATGACCACCAGGCTCAAGGAACTTTTCGAGCGCCCGGAGATTTTCGTGCTGGCCGGCGGGATGAACCCCATGGGCGCGAAGATGGCCGAGGTACTGGGATTCGAGGCCTTTTACATGTCCGGGGGGAATACCTCGGCCCAGCTCATGGGTTTGACCGAGGGCGGCACCAGCATGCGGGACATGGTGGACAACGCCAGGCGCATCGTGAACACCATCGACATTCCCGCCTTCGTTGACATGGATACCGGCTATGGAGACGCGATCCAGGTTTATGAGACAGTGAAGGAGTACATTCGGGCCGGTATCGCCGGCACCCACCTGGAGGATCAGACCTACCCGCCCAAATCAGGTCCCCGTCGCCGCTGTGTTTCCATCGAAGAGATGGTGGGCAAACTGCGCGCCGCCATGGACGCCAAAATGGAACTTGACCCTGACTTCGTCATCGTGGCCCGGTGCGACTACGCCGGCGTCCCTGGCGCAACGTTCGAGGACGTGATGGAACGCTGCCTGGCGTACAAGAGCCAAACCAACGTGGACGTAGTGTGCCCGGCCGTCGCGTCCTGGGAGGACAATCAGGAAGCCATCCGGCGGATCCCGGGTCCGGTGCTGCCACTGTTCACCCACGGCAGCCAGACGCATCCCACCCTGGAAGAGTTGCAGCAAGCCGGGGCCGCCGCGGCCTGGTATCCCGGCCTGACCACCATGGCCGGGGCTTCAGGCGTCCTGGGACTTTCTCAGCGATTTCCAGGATCGCGGCACCCCCGCCATCGACGATTTTCTGGCGACTGCGGCCCAGAGCAGGTGGGGCATCGCCAGCAACGGCGGCATTCTGGGCGCCCAGCGCATTCGGGAGATGGAGGACAAGTACCTGCCATAAAGACACGATGACGGGCCCGACCACGCCGCAGACCCAAAATCAGCCCGCATACCTCGCAGGATGAGGCGGGTTCCGGAGCCGCCGGGTCGGAGCCGGCTCCGCACGCAATACCGGGTACAATCTCATGCGTACTCACTTTGTCATCGCGAGGAGCGCAGCGACGTGGTGATCTCGTTGAATTGAGCGGGGATCCCTCCGGCGACGAGATTGCCACGCTGCGCTCGCAATGACCGAAGGGTCACTCACAATGACAGAGGGGTCGCTCGCAATGACCGATTGTGCAAAGTGGGTGCGCGTGAGCGGGTACAATGGCGCGAATCGACGCAGGGAGCTTTCCCCATGAAATACGACCACATAGTTGTCGGAGGCGGCACCGCCGGGTGCATCGTGGCGACACGCCTTTCCGATGATCCGACGCGATCAGTGCTGCTGTTGGAAGCCGGCCCCGACTTCCCCGACTTCGCTCAATTGCCGGACATGCTCAAGCTGGGCTGGGGCACGGTGAACCTGGAGGCCCGGGCCGCCGGTTCACCCTACAACTGGTCCTTTACCGGCACAGCCACACAGGAACAGGCGCCCATGCCGGTGCCCCGAGGCAAGGTGCTGGGCGGTTCCAGCGCGATCAACGGCCAGACCTTCATCCGGGGCGCGCCCGAGGACTTCGACACCTGGGCTTCCTGGGGCAACGACGGCTGGGGCTACCTGGACTGTCTGCCCTACTTCCGCCGGCTGGAGAACGACGCCGACTTTCACGACGACTTCCATGGCACTGACGGGCCGGTTCCGGTGCGGCATCACCCGCGCGAGACCTGGCCGGTGGTGCAGGAAGCCTTTTTCCAGGCCGCCACTGCGGCCGGATACCCCTACAATCCGGACGTCAACCACCCGGAGGCCACGGGAATCAGCCAGCGGGCGGAGAACAACATCGAGGGCGTGCGCATGAGCATGGCCCTGGCGTACATCAACCCGGTGCGGCACCGGCTGAACCTCACCATCCGCCCGAACGTCCAGGCGCGGCGCGTGGCGCTGGAAGAGGGTACCGATGGAAAGCGAGCCGTCGGCGTCGAGGTGGAGAGCGGCGGTGATCGCTTCGTCGTCGAGGGCAACGAGATCATCCTGTGCGCGGGGGCGGTGGCCTCACCGCAATTGCTGATGCTGTCCGGCATCGGCCCCGCCGGACAGTTGGCGGCGCAGAGAATCCCGGTCGCCGTGGAACTACCCGGCGTGGGCCAGAACATGCGCGATCACCCCAACGTGTCCGTGCGTTTCAGCGTCAAGGAGGGCACGCCCGAAGACCCCGACGCCATGCGGGCGGTGCGCCTGCGCTATACCGCCACCGGTTCTTCCACGCCCCACGACATGATCATCTCGCCGGCTTCGCTCAATACGGTGGTGCGGGCCGGCGAAAACCCCACGCACACCGTCAATTGCGGCCTGTACCTGGCGGCAGGAAAGGGCGAGTTGCGGCTGGAGTCGGACGACCCGCAAACTGCGCCCAGCATGGACTATCGCTACCTGGAAGAAGACTGGGACCGGGAACGGTTGCGGGAGTGCGTCCGACGGTGCGTGTCGCTGCTGCAGCACAGCGCCTACGACCGCTTCATCCAGGAAATAACCGCTCCCACGCCGGCAGACCTGGAGAGCGACGACGCTCTGGACCTCTGGCTGCGGCGCAACATCAGCACCTCGTACCACATTTCCGGTACCTGCAAGATGGGGCCGGAGAACGACCCGATGGCGGTCGTTGACCCTCAGTTGCGAGTGCGCGGAGTATCCAACCTCCGCGTTGCCGATGCTTCGGTGATGCCCGACGTGGTCCGCGCCAACACCAACGTCACCACGATGATGATCGCGGAGCGCGTGTCCGACTTCATCAAGGCGGGAAAGTAAGCGGTGGCGAGTTAAGCGCGGAAATCAGGTCTTCGTTGGACCCGACGATGTAGCTACCCATAACAGGGCCAAGGACGCTGCGATATTCGTCCAGTTGCTGGTCGATGTCGCAGCCATCCTCGTCCTTGACCTCCACCTCGAGGATCTGGCCCACCCCTTCGACGTTATCCAGATTGAAGATGACGTTGTCTTTCCGCCACAGTTCACGTTGCTTGCGGACGACGGCCCTGGCGCCGAGCGCGGCTTCCAGCACTTCCCCTATGCCCAGGTCGTCAACTGACCACAGCTGAAACCGGCTGGTCCGCGCCCCGGCTTCCTGGTGCTCGCGGTAGTGAATGAGCGTGCCCGTTCCCTTTTCGACGCGGAGTTTGAGACGCCGCGTTCCCGCGGAAATGTCTCCCGTGGAAACGTCTCCCGCGGGCAGGTGGTAATAGTAGTCGACCTGCTCGCTGATCTCGACGAACAACGCTTCCCGTGCTCGGAGGATCTCGCGGACAGCCGCGAAATCTGCGCAGTATGCCTTGAGTTCACGATTGAGATGAAACTGCATGTTTGGTCCTTCGGTGAGATCGCGGCCGGGCCAATATGGCGCGCCGGCTGACGGGATCAGACCTGCCAGTCTACAGAGGCAGGTGGACGACCTGGCCAGTCATGGCGCTCCGCCCAACCGCTTCGGTCCACTCCATGTAGTGGACGCCGGTCTCGAAGGCCACCATGTCCACGATCTCGGCGCCGCGTATGGCGTTGGTGAACTGGTCCTCAAACGCGATACTTGGCCTGGGTCTCCGGCGGGTTGGGCACCTCGGTCAACTCGGGGTCGCCGCGCTTGCCGGCCCACACCCGGCGCTGGGAGTCCACGTGGATGGTGCCTTCCGTGCCGAACATCCAGATGTGATTGCCTCCGTTCAATCCAGAGGTGGCGCTCATCTGCATGTGGACCTGGGCGCCGTTGGGCAACTCGTAGAGTATGTCGATGTGGTCGGGGATCGTCACGGACGTGAGGTCGCCGCCGTCGTTTCTGCGGTAGGGCACGTTGACCTTGCCCATGGCCATGACCCGGGTTCCGCGCCCCAGCCAGCGCATCATGGACTCGTAGGACGCCCCGATGTTCAGGGTGTTGTAGCCGCTGAGCGCGCGGTCATGCCGCCAGTGCAGGGGACCGTCGAAATCGGCGAAGTTGTTCTGGAGAGACGTGAAATCCACGGACAATAGCTCGCCCAGATGACCTTCATCAATCAGCCGTTTGATCACGTTGTCAATGGTGTAGCTGGTGGAGGTCGGCGTGAGCTGACAGACCAGGTGCGGGTGGGCGCGGGAGGCCGCCAGCATGTCCCGGGCTTCCGCGGCGTCATTGGCCATGCGCGCCTCGGTGAGCACATGCTTGCCCGCCTCCAGGGCGGCCAGGGTCATGGTGCGGTGCATGTACGGCCAGGTGCCGATGCAGACGGCGTTGATCTCGTCGTCTTCCAGCAACTCCCGCCAATGCCCATACACCTTCGGAATATTGAACTGGTCCGCGACCACACGGCCGGATTGGACGCTCCGGTTGGCCACGGCCACGATCTCACAATCGTCCCACCCCAGAGAATCCGGGAATGTGCCGGTTGCGGACATTGCCGCCGGCGCCGATCAAACCCACCCTGATTGGTTCTTCAGCCATTGTTTCCTTCCTCCGTTATCGGTCATGTGGTGCCGGTGTTTGCCAGGGGCAGCAGTGGCTCAGGAGCAGCAGTGACCCGCGTGGGACAACGGGCGCGAGGTCCGCGCGGCGGTAGGTCGGGCCAGCCCATTGGAGCCTTCGCAAGTCGGACGGTTCCACGGCGATATGGCTGTCTCATGAATTCTGCGCATTTCCTGTCCGGTTGGAGTTTATAATACCCGCGAAAACGGCCAGGAGCAGACGAATATGGCAAATTTGACCAACACGCACCGGATTGGCGCCCTGGTTCCCGCCACCAACCCGGTGGTCGAGCCCGACTTCTACCGGGTGGTGCCACCGGACATCACCGTGCATTTCGAGCGCATGTGGAATGGCACGTGGGGAAGTCAGCCGGAAATTTCCACTGAGACGGGACACCGTCTCAGCATGACCAGCGCGGAGGCTAACGAAGTCGAAACGGCGCTGTTCGGGTTCGACATCGGCAAGATGAACGACGACGTGGCCCGTGGCGCCAGCGCTTTGTCCAACATCGGTCCCGACGTTTTGGCCTACGCCTGCACCTCCGGCACGTGGCACAAGGGCTACATGGCCTACGACCGGATGATAGCGGGAATAATGGAGGAGGCCAGCGGCGTCCAGTCAATAACCGCAGTGGGTTCCTGCATCGCCGCCATGCAGCACATGGGCAGCCGCAAGCTGAGCATCGCCGGGCCGTACCGCAACTACCACCTGCGCAACCGGCTGAAGCCGCTGATGGAAGAGGCCGGTTTCGAGGTGCTGAGCGCCGACGGCGAGCCGTGGTTGCAGGACTCCATGAACCCCCGCGAGATCGACGCAGAGCCGCCGCAGACCATCATCGACTTCGTACCCACGGTGGCCCAGCAGGAAGCCGACACTATTTTTCTGCCCGGCACCGCCTGGCGCGCGCTGGACGCGGTTGAAGAACTCGAACAGAAGCTGGGCAAGACGGTCATCTCGGTCAACCAGGCCACGATCTGGATGGCTCTCAGACGGGTGGGCTGGACGAAGCCGATAGACGGCTACGGCAGCCTGCTGCGAAACCTGGCATAGCCGGCCAGCCGGCGTATCAACCAAGACGGCAAGGGAGGTTTGGAATGGTTATCAGCAAGCAGAGCATTACCTATGAAGTCGACATTGAGGACGTGGAATATCTCCGCCACGGCGAAACGCCCTTGTTGGCGAGGCTGTTCAAACCCCGCGGCAGCGGGCCTTTCCCGATAATGGTGGAGCTGCACGGCGGCGCGTGGGTTCGAGGGGACCGTCTGATCGGCAACGCGGCCAACGAAGCGTTGGCCAGGAACGGCGTGATCGTCGCCGCCCTGGACTTCCGGGCGCCGCCGGTGGCATCGTACCCCGCCTCCTTCGCTGATATTCACTACGCGATTCGCTGGTGCAAGAGCCAGGCCGAATCCTGGAACGGCATCCCCGACAGCATCGGGGCGATGGGCACCTCCAGCGGCGCGCACCAGGCCATGTTGCTGGGCATGCGGCCGCGCGATGAACGCTACGCGTCGCTGCCGGCGTCGAACGGCGCCAGCGAAGTGGACGGGACCCTTGGCTGCGTGATCATGGTCTCTCCGGTGATCGACCCGCTGGGACGCTATCGATACGCCAAGGGTCTTCGGGACGATTGCACGCCACCGGCCGGCATGGCCGACAGAGTCGGACCGATGCATGACCTGTACTGGGTGACCGAGGAAGCGATGGCTGAGGCCGCGCCCGCCCGCATCCTCGCGGGCGGCGAACGCACCGAACTGCCGCCCACGCTGTGCCTGGCGCGCTCCTACGAGGAAGCGCACCCGCGACCGGACCTGGACCAGTTCATTGCGCAGTACCGCAAGGCCGGCGGACAGATCGACGTGACGATTTTCGAAGGGGAGGGCGAGCGCATTTTGCAGGATGTTTCGGCGCCGGTTGCGCAGCAGGCCCTGGAGCGTATGACCGCCTTTATCCGACAGCACCTCGGATAGGCCCGACGCTACATCTCTACGGGCGCACAAGTTTACCGGAGCACCAACGGCGGCCCGTCTGATCGGGTCGCCGTTTTCACTTCCAATATGGTGCAGACCCAGCAAACCTCAGTTGTCCATGCTCCGATCTGGCGCCGGCGGTTGTTGCAGCGGAGTGACTGCCTCCCCAGTGCTATACTCGCTCCCAGAGCATCCATATCGTTGAAATACGATGCAGGATCGCGGATCAGTAACGTAATGAGGTGAAATCATGTCACGAGTTACAATGATTCAGCACATCAATATCCAGATCAGTGACCAGGATCGAACCCGTGACTGGTACGAGAAAGTGCTGGGCGCGGAGTTCCTGGACCGAGGGCCGGAACTCAACCAGCGCCAACTCCAGTTGCGCATCGGCAGCGGGGAAATCCACAGCACCTACACCCCAAATCCCAACCCGTCGGGGCACTTTGCCTTGGAGATCCACGATTGGGATGAAATGATCGCCAACCTGGACGCGCAGGGCGTTCCCTATTCATCGCCAAGCGTCCGGGAGTACAGCGGCGGCCACTCCACATACATCAATGACCCGGACGGGAACATGATCGAGTTGGTGCAACACCCGCTGGGATTGCGGGACTCCACGGGCGAAACCGTGGAAGTCGCGCACGACCCCAACGGAATGGTATGGGCCCGGCGGACCGGGTACGGTCCCGCCACCGGGTGAGACCAGCGCAAAACCGTGACCACCGCCTTTCAACCGCGAGGAAGACAATATGCCTTACTACATGTACGTTGCCGTACAGGGCGACAACAAGATTTCGGTCTTCACCATCGACCCCGATTCCGGTGGCCTGACACTGCAAACCGACGTACCCGTATCGGGCGGGCCGTTCACGATGGCAATCAGCCCCGACCGTAGATACCTCTACGTGGGATGCCGCGAGATCACCCAACTGGTCAGTTTCGAGATCGATCAAAGCAGCGGAGGGCTCACACAGAATGGCTCCGTGCCGCTGGACTCCTGGCCGGTGTACGTGGCTACGGACCGGAAGGGCAGGTTCGTGCTGTCATCCTACTACCAGGGCGCCCGCGTGGCGGTGCATCCCATCGGCGATGACGGCTCGGTGGGAGGCGACCCGGTCGAATGGCTGGAGACGGCCACCGGCGCCCACGCCATGCAGACCGACCCGACCAACGCCTACGCGTTCGTGCCGCACATCGCGGGCAACGGCCCCAACTCGATCTGGCAGTTCCGGTTCGACGAGAACACCGGCCACATCACGCCCAACTCGCCGGCCACCGTGGACCCGGAGGAATTCCTGGGGCCGCGCCACTTCTGCTTCCATCCATCCCTGGATGTCCTCTACTTTTCCAACGAGCAGGGTTGCAGCGTGAGCGCCTACAACCTGGACACGTCCGCAGGCACGTTGTCGCTGTTCCAGACCATTACCACCCTGCCACCGGAGGGGTTCAGCGAGAGGAACACCTGCTCACAGATCCAGATCACGGCGTCGGGCAGGTTCCTGTACGCGCCGAACCGGGGGCACGACAGCGTCGCCTGCTACACCGTGGACCAGACGACGGGCGAATTATCGTCCAACGGCATCGTCCCCTCTGAGCCGAGACCCAACGCCCTGTGCGTGGACCTCCAGGACAGGTTCATCTATTCGGCCGGTCAGGATTCGGGGCAAATGGCCATCTTCGGGGTCAACAGCGATTCGGGCCAGTTGACCCGGCTGGCCACGCATCCGCTGGGCGACGGGCCGGGCTGGATTTCCATTACCGAGCTGCCGGGATAATGCCGCCACGCCGATCTGATGAGAGGACAGGGTCACAGATTGTGAGCTCGTCATCGAGCGCTTAACTGCTGATAGGATTGGAAAGGTCCAGCCACCACATTTACTGACGCCGTGCGTAAAAATCTCACCTGGGTAAGCAACACGCGATTTGAGAGAGGGCAGCGTTATGAGCAAGAACTACAGCATCTGCGTAGGCGCCACGGGCTTCGGCGGCGGCGTTTGGCACAGTCCGGACGGCGGGGAGAACTGGACTCGGATCAGAGACCCGTTCCCGCTGGGCAGTCAGGTCCGGGCGATGGCGGTGTATCCCGACGACCCCAGCCGCATCCTGGCGGGAGCGGACAATGGCATCTATCGCAGCGAGGACAAAGGGGCTTCGTGGGGAAAACTCTGGTCGCCAATGGACGGTGTGCCGATATGGTCCATTGCCATAGACCCGGAGGACACCGAGACCATCTTCGTGGGGATCAAGCCCGCCGCGCTGTTCCGGTCGCGCGATGACGGCCAGAGCTGGACCAAGCTTTCCGTTCAGATGGCCCAGGAATGCCACATCGGTCCCCCGATGGTTACCATGCTGATGGTGGACCCGAAAGACCACCGCACCGTTTGGGCCGGCGTTGAAGTGGACGGGGTCTACCGCAGCCTGGACGGCGGCGATACCTGGACCCACGTTGAAGGCGGCGTGCATCCGGACATCCACGGCATGGCCATCAGCCCAGGCGAGCCGAACCGGGTCATCGCCAGCACGCCCCGCGAAATCTACGCCACCACGGACATGGGCGAAAGCTGGGAATCCGTGGTCACAACTGACCAGTTCGTCCTGCCCTACAGCCGCGGCATTGCCGTCAAGCCCGGCGACCCCAACGTGATCTTCTCCGGCGTCGGAGACACGGCAATCGGAGGCGCCGGCGCTATCCAGCGCTCCCGGGACGCGGGCCAAACCTGGGAAACGCGCCCGCTGCCGGTTGAGCCCAACTCCAACATCTGGCAATTCGCCACCCATCCGGCGGACCCAGATTTCGTCCTGGCGTCCAGCCTCATGGGAGAGCTGTACTCGACCAGCGACGCCGGAGACTCGTGGGTCAAGGTGAAGCGAGAGTTCACCGAAGTGGGCGCGGTGGTGTGGGTGCCCAACTGATCCATCGGCTGGAACCGGCGCCAGGAACCAATCTCAACGGTTAACTTCCGCGGGGGCGAAGATATTTTTCGCCCCCGCACGCGCTTATGTTCAACCCAGCATGTGACTGGTCGCACCAAAGCGGCCCGGTGGACCGCCTGGCCGATGATCTCGTGGCAGCAGTTCGGGAAGGGCGAATTGGGGGTCTGGCCTGACGCCGCGCTGCCGGCCATCACAACCGAAAGGCCCCAGGTAGAACGTCTCCGAATCTCGGTTCGGTGAAGATGTGGGGTACAATGCGCCGATGACCGCCGTGTAATCCCCAGGTAATGACCACAACCGCGCGGGCGGCGGGCGATGGTCGCTCGTTCCAGGGCTTCAGGCTCGTCCGCCGTTGCAAACCGGATTGGAACTCGGCAGGAGACGTTATATGTCAACACCCCCGGCGCCGCAAAGTAACTTTTTCGCCCAGAGGGCGCATCGGTTCCTTGCGGCGCTGGTTTTTTCGAGACTTTCGATTCATGGCCTTCGCCACGCTGTGCAGCAGCAGCGGGGCCTGGGCCCTGATCGTCGCTCGCGGAGCGTGGGTGTACAGCATCCCCGAGCTGGAGGGCACCCAGGGCTTGTGGGTTGGGCTGATCACCTTCGCGGCCATGTCGCCGCGTTTCGTCGCAACCCCGTTCATCGGCTACCTGGCCGACAAGGTGACCCGCAAAACCCTGCTGCAGTGGGTGTACGCACTTCAGATCGCCCAGGCGTCCACCATGGCCATTTTGGTGATGATCGGTATCACCAACCCGTGGTACGTGGTCGTCCTGGCGGTGTTGAACGGGACGTTGCGCTCCACACAGATGACCGCCGCCCAGTCGTTGACCCCAAACCTGGTGGACCGGGAACGCCTGCCCAACGCGGTGGCCCTGAACCAGGCCATGCAGCAGGGTTCGCGCGCCGTGGGTCCCGCCATCCTGCTGGCGATTTCCGTCACGGTGGGCAGCAGCGCGGTATTCGGATCCGGCGGGGTCTCATTCTCACTTGAGAACCTGGTGGTGACCCTGGGTTCTTCCGCCATAGTGTTCTGGGCGTGCGCGGTTTTCTACATCGTCGCCCTGGTGTCCGCGCTCAATATCCGGACGGTTTCGACGGGAGTAATTGATCGGCGCCGGGGTTTCTGGGCCAACACCGCCGCCGGATTCGCCTACGCGTACAGCACACCGCTGGTCTTCGGCATCCTGCTCATGGCCGTGGCCCACTGTGTTCTGGTGATGTCCTTCGAGTCCATGCTGCCGCCCCTGGCGTTGGAGAAACTATCTGCGGACGGGGTAACGTTCAACGAGAACGACGTGTACGCGCTGATGGCGGCCCTCGGGATTGGCGCCCTGTTCTCTTCGATATTCGTGGGGGGCATCATCAACCACATGACGCGCGGGAAGGTGTTCCTGCTGCTGGGTTTCACCAGCAGCCTGACGCCCATCGGAATGGGACTGTCGTCCCAGACCGGCATCTCCATGATCGCCGCGGTCATGATGGGATTGGGCACCTCCGGGTTCATGACCATCACCCACACCGTGATCCAGTCGGTGGTGCCGGACGAGATTCGCGGCCGGGTCTCCTCGGCGTACTCCATGCACATCGGCGGCAGCATGGCCTTCGCCAACCTGCTGTACGGCCGATTGGCCGACTTCTGGTCGGCCGGCGCGGTCATGTCCGTGGCGGGAGCGGCGTTCACGCTGGTGGTTCTGGGCACCGTGATCGGCAGCGGCTTCTGGCGCGACATCTACTTCCGGGGGACGGCACGGCCGGTTGCCGCCGCCGCCAGCCCGCGGGCGGCAACGACTAACCGACCGGCGACAGCAGCGATTACGGAGCCGCACCGCAGCCGAGAACGATGTTGCCGCGTTTCGCCGGCAATGACAGTTCAAACGTAAGTCAGGCGCCGGCGGGTTGCGGTAGCAGCCTGAGTTTTTGATTGCGCGACGGGCGCAATGCATCCAACGCCTTACGGGCATTGTCCCAGCGCGGCGCCCGCCACCTACGCGGCCGGGGCGGAAGCGAGTTTCCGGCCTGCCGCCCGACCCAGGCCGAACCACAGCGTGACCAGCAGGCACAGGCCGGCGGATATGCCAATGGAGGCCGGCCAGCCAACCCAACCTGCGGCGGCGGCCAGCGGCAGCGCCCCCAAGTTATGAAACCCCGGCGTAAAGTGAAGCACGCCCATGACCCGACCGCGTATCTCGGCGGGAGCGGAGAGTTGCAGGATGGTGGTGGCCAGGGGCCAGACGGTTCCCAGGCTCAACACTCCCACCAACAGGAACAGCGTCCACGACACCCAGAACCAGTTGGACCACGCGAACAGCGTCAGCAAGACGCAGAATAACACCAGGCACGCCAGCAGCCAGCGGTACAGCCACGACCGGCTCATGAACGTAATACTGAGGTTTCCCAACAGCGAGCCGACCCCCGGAGGCCAGCAGCAGCAAGCCGGCTCCCGACGCCGCGCTGCCCAGATGGTCCTTCGCGAAGGCCGGAATTATCGCCAGATGGCTCATTCCGAACCCGCCCCAGGAACAGGCAAGCACCAGGACGGTGAGCAGCACCGGCGACCGCCAAATTTGGACCACCCCGTCGGTGAAGTTCCGTAGTATCGGCTCGGTGGTCGGTCTCATGTCGCGGGGCGAGGTGCGGATCCTGGTGACGCAAAAAACGCTGGCCACGTAGCAGGACGCGTTCACCAGCAGGGCGGCGCTGATGCTCCAGTGGTCGATCACCGCGCCCACCAGCGGCGGGCCGACGATTCTGCCGATATGCACCGCGGCATTGAAGTGGGCCACCGCGTCCAGCAGGGTACGTTGGTCCACGAGGTCTCCAAGCATTGCCACTCGCGCCGGCTGGTTCAGCGCCTGCAACGATCCCAGCACAGCAGCGGTGGCGTAGATGTGCCAGATGGTGATCACGCCAGTCAGCGACAGTATCGCCAGCGCGGCGATCGACGTCCCCACGGCAAGCTGGATCGTTATCAGCAGCCGCTTCCGGTCGATTCGGTCGGCGATCACGCCACCCACCATGAGGAGGCTGACGTTGGGCAATCCGTAGAGGAAAAGCACCAACCCCAATTGAGTGCTGGATCCGGTGACTTCGAGCACCAGCCAGCCCAGCACCAGAGACTGCATCCCCTGGGAGAGGGCCTGGGTGGCGGATCCGGTCCAATACCACCGGAAGTTGGACGAGCGCCAGGGGCCCAATACCCGCACGGCGTAGGACGCGGCTCGGCGCCTGGAGGGTTGTTGCGGCTCTACCAAGTCTGGCGCCGATAGCCGTTTCCGCCGACGCCACGGTCCCAGACCGCCGCCCCGCCCGACGCGGAACCAACCTGGTGCGGAATGCACTGCCCACGCGGCGATTGTAATCTATCCCCGCGCTGCTGGGGCCGATATACGGGGCATCCGCCATCGTACCGTGAAGCGAAGACCCGCCTGGGCCATTACCGATCCGAAACCCCATCGTCTGGCCATACGGATGTGAGTCCTGCGGCGGCTCCGATGCGGTTCGCGAGGCTGCGCCGGGGTTTGCCTGGCGAAACCGTTATGGAACCTGTGGCCGTGAAAGCACAGCAGGTGGGAGTCACGCGCCGGCCCGCTTTGGCCAATCGCCGTGACAATGGACGCTGACGAGCCTTGATGACGACGTCCGACGGGTGGAGTTCCGTCATTAAAAGCACCGGGAGCCGGTTCGCAGCAAGCCGGCCGCCGGGTCATCTCCGACCGGGAGCAAAAAATCCTGGCCGGGAACGGGAGCGGGGCCGGGGAGTTGCAGCGGAATTCCAGGCACTCGTGCGCTGAGAACCTCGCTAAATCACGCGAAACACCTGCTCCTCCTCAAACTCCACTGACCAAGTTGAGGTCGATGGCGCGGAACAACACAAGATGGAACATCAGTCGCCGGATTTTGCGTATGTGCATTCTTGATAGAAAACATTGACGGATTGTGCTAATCGGGCTAGCATGGCGAACAAATTAACGAAATGCTGCTAACCGTCGCGGCTGCCCTTGAAAAAGGGTCGTCTCGGCGCGCTTCGGCGTCAATCCGGGTAGGACCAGTTGCCACCGGGGAGTTTGCAGTCATTCGAGCGATATACGCGGATTCAGGAGGTAACAGGATGGCAGAAAAAGACATTGCTCTGATGGCGCACCTCATGCGCCGCGCCGGTTTCGGAGCGACCTATGAAGAGCTGGAGGCGCGCGCCGCCAACGGTTACGAGGCCACGGTCGAGGAGTTGCTCAACCCGGAGAGCCAACCGGCCATTCAGGACGACATCCTGATGCGGTACCAGCCGCAGTGGGTGTCCAAGGCGGGCCTCGAGGGCCAGCAGGAAGAATGGACCTACCGGATGATCAACACCAAGCGGCCGCTGGAAGAGAAGATGGGCCTGTTCTGGCACCATATCTTCTGCACCGGCCATGCGAAGTGCGAGTACCCCAAGCAGCAGCAGATTGAGCTCGACATGTTCCGCACCCTGGGGTTCGGCAACTTTGAGCAGCTGCTCCAGGGTCTGTCAAAGGACCCGGCCATGGTGTTCTATCTGGACAACTGCATGAGCCACAAGGACGCCATCAACGAGAACTGGGGCCGGGAGCTGCTGGAGCTCTTCTCCCTGGGCGTCGGCATGGACGGCGGCGCCAACTACTCCGAGGACGACGTCAAGGAAGCGGCGCGTGCGTTCACCGGATGGACGGTGACGAACTCCGTCCCCCCGGTACCCGTACGGCAAGTACGAGGCCGCGTTCATCTACGATCCGTCGGACCACGACTACGGCGAAAAGACGTTCCTCGGTGAAACCGGCAATTGGAACGGCGAGGACATCGTCCATATCGTCGCCCGGCAGCCCGCTGCCGCCCGGTTCGTGGCACGCCACATGTACAACTTCTTCGTAGCGGACGAGCCGCAGGTTCCGGCCTGGCAGAACACGCCACCGCGTGACCCCGAAGCCATCAAGGTGCTGGAGGACGAGTACTTCCGCTCGAAC